GAAGAAAAAGAAAAGAAGAAAAGAAAAAGAAAAAGAAGAAGAAGAAAAGAAAAAGAAAAGTAGTAGTAGTAGTAGCAGTAGTAGAAGAAACTTGAATGTCATCCATTGGAAATGAAGAAAACCTCTAAATTCCTAACCACGTAGAAGGCAATGAGAATATATTCCGTAATCTTTCCCAAGAGCATATGGTAATACCTGCATTATAATTAAAAGGGTTCTATAACATGTCATGAAGGCTTACGTCCTTAAGGAGCATGGCATGAAAAGCACAGTTAATATCACTCTACCGCGGCCATTTTCCCACGGATGTCAAGTTGAAAACTTATCGATGTTCTGTCGTAATTCCATTGCAAATGTTCAGAAGAGCCCGGATATTGATACGCCATGCCACTTCCACGGAGTTAAAACATTCTTATTTCTTCCAGCGTTCAAATGTTAGTAAAGGTTCCATTCCGACGGTTTTTCCACAAGTATCGAGGATGATTCCTTGAATACTACAATATTAAATTTTCCAAAACCAGTCTAAACCTTATCTATCCTCCTTATCCTCATAATATTCACTTCCTACCACCCCTCTTTTATTCATACTAGATACATTATTCATCTTTAACATTTTAGGTGTAACAATCTAACTCGAGTGACAATCGCGCCTTGTGGGTAAAATTAAATATTAAAAAATCACGTAGACTCATATAAGGGCACTATAGTCCTCCTACGTCTGTTTCCCCGCATGAGACTCCCACTGAACTGGTTTTGATCCCGGTCTAACTTTGTTCTCATTGCCTATCGTGGTACATGAGACATTCCTTCTAATTAATCAGTCGATTTAATAATTAAACATTTCATTAGCGCCGGGTATATGACAATCTAATTAATGAGTTCCAAAGAGATATTCACATTATTAAATATCGTTCAGTGTGTATCATTGCCTTCAGAATACTGTGTCTTCATATGAGAATGTTCTTCTTAACTGCATTCTCGTATAAGTTATAGGAAAGTGAAATCGTCGAGCCGAGTTCGAATTCTGGTCTAACCTGTTGCATTCGCTTACGCGCTGGAGCCTTTGGGAATGGCGTGGACCTTTTTACAGTCACGTCGCGTTCAAAGACGGTTTCCCGACGATCAACGAATTTAAACAACGTCAAGACTGATCAGGACCTTGATGACTGACCACTTGGGAATATTAGGTGGTGTAAGTTAGCATGAGTAGGTGGTGTACTGGATAATGCCTCGGAATTGTTAATCGAAGAACCGGGTTCGATTTCGACTTGGGCACGTTATATACATATATACACTTCGGAAAGGTATGAGTATACGTCTTTCCCTCACAACTATGGGTTAATTAGTAACACATGCTTCACTAAATCATTATTATCAAAAAAAGATTCTTAGAATCTAAAAATATTTTCTGCCTTCAAATAAACTGCAATGAGTGATAAACCAAAAAAAAGAATCAATCATTCAATTAACAGTTTCAAAAATCGGAGCGTCTACTTAGATACGTGTATCCACTGAAAATAACGTTGAAAGCGAATCGATCAGTTAATAAATATATTTATTCTCCTTGATCCGCAGCTATGATTTAAAAAGTAGGGTAGAATGAGTTATTTAGCCTTGGTTGGTAACCAATCTAATAGAAGAGGAAAACTCTGCATTCAAATTAAAATTAAAATTCATGTTTCAACCAATTACTTTCATGTATTGACACTTATTACTGAACTTTTTATGTCAGGATTTAGATAAAAACGACGAGGCTCGGGCTGTGGCTTTAGATATCTCGACGGCGGTTGACAGGATGTGGGATGCTGACCTTATTCGCTACATCAAGGTGTCCGGTTTCTCTGGTTGAATGTTTAGCTTACTCCATTAATCAGTTAATGGAGGTCGATTTTGTTGGAATTTTGGGGTACCCTGGTGTACTAGTGAGCCATCCAAAATGAGCTGACTCATTTTATAGTTCACCAATAGAAAGATTAACCAATCAGAAGGCTCAAAATAGCCAATGCGACGTGTATAAAGGCGGCCATGTTTTTCCTGAATATTCACTGCCAGCTTTTGATAACCTGGACGAGGCTCCGCCGATGAGCAGAGTCTCATTCAGGGAGTTTGACTGCCCCTAAACCCGTTTATACGCGTTCGAATGGGGAATTTTTTTGGCCGAGCCTACGGGCTGGGTGATCCCACGTTTATCCCGGCCTTGTGCCACATGTAACCCTCGTGGGTGGGTGGGGGGTGGTAAATATCACTGCCAGCATTTGATAACCCGGACTAGTCTCCGCCGAAGGGAAAAGTCTCGTTCAGGGAGGTTGACTGCCCCTGAACCCGTTTATACGCCTTCGAATAAGGAATATTTTTGGCCGAGCCTACGGGCTCAGAGATCCTACGTTAATCCCGGCCTTGTGCCACATGTAACCCTCACTGCCAGCCTTTGATATCGAAGACCGAAGAATCACCGAACAGCTGATGGTATTATAAGCGATATAGTCAGATTCAGTAGAGTATCTGACCCGTGAGTGTTAATCTTTAACGTTGTTTCATTGAACAGATTACGTACTGCGCTTTATTCTATTTTCATAGACTATGGTGAACATGGTCAACAGATTTGACGCGTCAGCCTTCTAAATTCTTTTACCTAAATGCAAGAGTCGCCGCTGTTTCTTGTTTCTTATCATCATCAACAACCTTCCCCGAAAACATCAGTTCCCAACAAGGTATTTTTAATGATGAAATAATTATTTACTTAGAGCTTAATAACTGGACAATGATGAACCCACCAAAAAAGGGGACACACTGCGCCATCTTGGTTTCACATCATTCATTTTGGACATTTATAAATCTACCATTCAACCAATCATTGGATATAGCTGCCATGTCTGGTCAGGTGCTTCTGTAATATATCTTATTCTTCTCGACAAAATCCATAGGAGCGTTTCTAATGTTATCGAACCGGCCCAGGCATCTCGACTTCAGTCATTTTCTCCACTGCCATGAAGTGGCTTCCCTCTGTCTTTTCTATAAATATTTTCCAGGCAACTGTTCTAATGAAGTCTCCTTCTTGGTGGCCCCGCCCAAAATAGATTAGTTTAGGTTTGTTTTAATCCTTAGTGTCTTCCGTCAAGTTAACTTCGCTAAGGAATTGATGCTCAATCTTTTGTCCCACTTTCTTGAGTTTAATTCCCCTCACGCCGTTAGTTTACAGAGATGTTAGTTCTCTGGTAGATGCGGGGCGCCTTTCGAATGTGTTTTTCGTATTTGTTTTTGTGTTTGTATGAGTGTGTGTTTGAGTGAGTGATTGATCGAACGACTGTTATTAATTACGTAATCTCTTCCAGTTTCGTCCAGTTAACTGACATTTCTGTCATATTTAAGGATTGTTTATGGTAGGGGGTATTACGAACACTATTTTTTTTAGATTTTTGTTTATAAATTTTATTCATTGTAAATATTCATTGGGGTTTCATTTCAAAATGTTGTTATTTTATTCTACACCCCAAAAGATAGATTGCACGTATGGGAACTAGTTAGCACTACATAGAGATTTGAGGTTTTCTGGTGGCTGTAGTAATAATGGTAAGGAAGTATATGTTGATTTGGTGTAAAGAATGCTAGCATGTTTGCGTCAGTAATCGTGGCTAAATTTAAGATAAAATAGATTAAATTTCAGTCTTACCTATACCTCCTTTTGGTTTGTGCAACATTTTTGTATTTAAACAAAATAAATATTACTCTTGTTATCTTGACTGCCCAAATTTAAGCGCACCGCTAGATTGGCAAGTAAGACCAATAATATTGGTGACACGTCTATTTTTTTATTCAAGAATTTCTGAATACATAACTACCAGAGTACATGTAGCAGCAATATACAATACATGAACGAATAGCAGATTTATAAATGCATCAGATATTCTGGCAAGAAATATTGTCTAACCTGTTGTTCATGATGACGGTCGTCTTTGAGTATAGAATCCAGAGGTTAGCAGTGAATATTTCGAAGACAGTAGGGAAACGTAGCTCAGGTTAGCAGTGGACATCCCGGTAAAGTAGAAGAACGTAGTTCAGTAGTTCTTCCTTCTGTTCTTTCGCCTGACAAGTTGGCACTTGACATTCGGGAGATTAAACAAAATGGCCGCCTTTATATACGACGGATTGAATATTCTACGTATTCTGATTGGTTAACCTTCTATTGGTGGACTATAAAGTGAGTCAAGTCATTTGGGCTAGCTCACTAGTAAACATATATACACAAAAAAAAAACACAACATAACCACACACAGTGAAACAACTTTCCTAGCAGCAGACCTAACAATATATATATATATATATATATATATATATATATATATATATATATATATATATATATATACGTGTGTTAGCACGTGCGATACCCTATCTTCATCATCCGCCGACATGGGGTGATATCACGGTTTCGGTGGCTATGGCGGGACCGCCACCCTTGGCGCCACCAGCAGCGTTTGCCACCAGGCAGGGTATGAAGATAAGCTAACTAATCGTTCCTTTCAGTAAAATCTATCTGCAATGAAAGTTTCTTGAACGCGTTCGCCATTATTGACGCGCTCGAGAAATCGTTGTAGACGACCACGTAAATATATCACTTGCGCATGTTAGGTGATGTTTTTTGAAGGCGATGCGAAACGCTTTTCAACCAACGGCCAGTGATGCCTATTTTTGAATTTTATATATTTTATATGTATATATGATTAATACAAAAATAAAATTTGTCACTTAGCTGATTGATGTTATATTCAGCATCTCGACTCCAGAGTTTCATAGACAGGACCCTCCAGAAATAGCTCCGTACACTCATCAGAAGATACCAGCTATTGCTTGCATATTTTCTTGTTTCCTTATCTTTATATTGAGTTAAAAAATACTTTATTCACTTTTTATTGGTGTATGGTTGATTTTTTATTTTCTTTTTCTTTCATTGTGTGTGTGCGGGTGTGTGTGTATGGGGGTCATGTCAAATTGAAGAGGCTTACGAACATATCATGTTGAAGCACCGGTTCTTGCAGGATCACCGTAATTAAGCAACGTCCTGCTTGCTCAGTACTTAGAAGGGTGACCGCTTGGGAATACCAGGTGCTGTAAGCTTCGATGTGCGTTGGAGAGACGAAGTTCAAATTACAGGAAAAATTATGATTCCCCACTTCTCATGATGGTCAGATATTGTTGAGCAATCTATCTTCCGGCCTTGCACAAACTACCCAATGGGGTAAAAGTAACTGGTTACATTCAATTCCACGCAGATCAAACAAATTATATTCCATCCTCCCCGATCTGACCCCTAACTACCACCAATCAGGATGAAGAGAGGTCCTCTCAGGGAAGCAACGTCCCTTCAAAGACTGTTGGGCTCAGGTACAAGGAGCCAACCTGACGCCTCCTATTATCCTCTAACTTTTCACTAGCAAGTTTAGGCCAAAAATGGAGTGTGAACAGACCTCACTTTCCAGCCTTGATAGAGTTTTTTAAAAAATGTATCCGAGCTCTTGTGAGAGATAAATTATTCTTTACCCTTCAATCTCACCCATCAGGCACGATGTGGCAAAACTCTCGCTGCCCTTCCGTTATTTCCACGGAAAGTACTCGGACGAACGGCATTCCCTGGTACCACCAAGTCAAATATTCGCAGCAAGAACACGCCATGTCATTTACATAGCAGCAAACCACACATGTTAAATAAGTTCCACTCGAGCAGCTTCTTCTGCGAACCACTACCCTGAGGAACAAACTCCCAAAATGACGTTAAATAAGCAATACAAACAAATTTTTACTACGTTAATAAAAAACCGATTAAAATAAAACTAAATAAATGTATAAGATAAGAAATAAAAATAAAAAATAAGAATAAATAAAATAAAGCAAAATAATCTAACCCAAATAAAGAAATAAACGACTTCCGGCAAAATAAACGCCAAAATAGACTACCCACAATGCACCACTGACCCGTATATATAAATAACCGAGAGAAAAAAAACGCTCGTGGCCTGACGATTGCGCCTAGCATTAAACAGCCTGTCGCCTCTAAGTGTTGACTTCAATGTTCACATTTATATTTATATACGCTCTAGCTCTGATATTGATCACTTTAACCCATAAATATAGCACATCTTAAGAGTATATTTCTACACACACACACATATATATATATATATATATATATATATATTTGCTATGTCTGGGTTGTCGGTTCCTAGGAACCTGAGCTGTTTGTCCCTCATACGTCGAATACGACCGGAGAGTCCACCATATATATATATATATATATATATATATATATATATATATATATATATATATATATATATATATGGTAAAATGGAAACTTTAGAATCAAGTAAGTACAGAAATGTAAATTTGAAATGTTAAAATAAACAATTTGAAAATATACCATGAATAATGAATGGTGCATTTGGAAATCTATGCAAAGTGTTGAGAACCAGAAACGTTTCGTTAGAATCAAAGAAAAGAGTGAAATGCTATGCAATATCCATTATGGCATTGCAGCTTACGGCCATATCACGTTCAAACAACGGTTCCCTTACGATCGTGAAATTTACGAAATTTCAAGTTTTGTCAATACCTAGATGAGTGGCTACTTGGAAATACAACGGGCTTACATTTTAAAAGTTCAGGTAGTGTAATGAATAACGATTCGTTATAATCACTTAAGCGCAAATAGGAAATGTATGAATCCACCTCTTCTCCCCCATCTATCGGTTAATTAGTAGGACTCGTGCCAGTAAATCGTTATTATCTCGAAAAGAAATTCTTAAAATCAAAAAATATTTTAGGGCTTCAATAACCTACAAAGGGTTGATCAATCATAAAAAAACACTCCAATCAATCACCTTTTTTGCATGATGAATAATTTCCTCAAAAATGAAGAGGTCACTTCAGAGAACGGAGCCGTTTTCTTTTTCTGCAGAAAGATGCTGAAAATACTTTGAACGGAGGATGTGAGCAATAAGAAAGTTCTACTGCTTTGAGAAAATCAATATTGCATCCGATGTGAAAGCTGAGGCCTGATGTACTAAGACCAAGAATTCATGGCATTCACCAGTTTTTGAGCATTTAGTTTTACAGATCGTCTGCAAAATGTCCAGATATACCTAATTCCTGCAGGTTTTGCGTAAAAGCTGACTTCAGCATTTTACTATTTCAAGAATAAATGCAAATATAATTTCATATATTTTGTATGAGATACATTGAGTGGAAAATATATTATAGCCAGAATTCTAATTATGAATAACCACAAGCAAAATATGCAATTTTTAAGAGTTTTTGATAAGAAAAACTATGTAAAAAAATTGCAAAATATTACCAAAAAGGCTACTCAATGATTAAGATCTTAAACTATTAGGTCATATTAATAAAAACAAAAAATAGATAAAATGCCATATAACACAAAAATATATATTTCTAGGCACAAATTTTAAATTTGCACTGTTTATTGAAAATTGCTCTCAAACTACTGAACTGTATAATATATTAAATCTCGAAATTGTTTTATAGTAGTACAATTTCCCTCTAAAGTAAAAGAATGTCTTATTTAATGGCACGATGTTTTAGTTATGTGCGCTTATGCCATAACGCTTGTCCATATACAATTTGTAAATCTTCAGTACATTATAACTTTTATTAAAGACATTTTTATGTTTAACATTCGTTTTACAGATACAAGTATTTAAGTAAATGATCTGTTTATAATAAACAGTATTAAATAACATTTACCGGCCTGAATGTCCGAGAAATTTTCATAGAAAATATTCGTCCTTTGACAGGATTAGAACCTGCATCCTATACGGAACCGTCATTTAACTTGACGTGCCTAACCAATCTTAATGTATGACGTCATTTGTTTACAGTTGATACGCCATAAGCAGTTATGAATGTACGAGATTCATGGAAGACTGAAGTTTATAAGCAGTGAATTCGACCTTGCCAACCTAACGATCCTTTTTGGCCGAATGGTTAGGCACGTCAAGCTAAATACTATTTATAAAAAACAGAGCATTGTCTGACTTTGTCCATTTCTTAATGTATTATAACTTTTATAAGGCTTTAACTGATTACCGGAATGAAATTCCAATGTTAGTTTGGAACCTAAACTCAATCTGCAAATTCATTTCCTCAAAACAATGGTAAGGCTTTGGAAAAAATATGTTTTCTCTTTATTTATCTTGTCAAGAAACAACATTCAAATTGATTGCAATACAATGGTTCCAAAATCCATCTTCCCTTTTTGAGGAATGTTTTGTTTTATGGAATATACGAACAAAACGAAGCCTTTTTACCTATAATCGGACAAGTAAAGTTGAAATTCCTGGGGCATGTAATGGAAAAAGAAGGTTTGAAATATTTGAATTACAAATGACTAAAGAGCTAGAGGGAAATAAGAAGCAACATATATAAGGAGATTTTGCAAATGTATGACAGAACAACGGGCAGGATATGATAGCAGGAGGCCATATATTGCTTAAGCCTACGAAAGATAGGACATCGCGAAAAGCTATAATCACTGAAATTATGAAGGAACAGTATAAACATTTCCTTAATATTTTACAAAACAAAAAATACACTTTAATGTTTTTGCCTTGACGTAGTATTAAGAAGTAATTTTCAAATTTAATATAAAGACATCAAATATTCTGTTTACTCAGCGTCTATAAACGCTGTTGATGCAACTTTTAAAAAGGCCAGAGGAAAAAATTTCCACTGATAAGAATTCGTCATTTTATAACGTTTCAAACTAACAGAATGAATTCTGCATATAAAATTACAAACGAGAGATATTCTTTGAGATTATCACCTGAGCTTTATCTCGACAATTCAACAGTTTTATTATTTATTTCAATATGTCGCTTTTGAAATTATCGAAATGTAACAGACGATAACTTTTCTAAAAATATTCAGCAAGAAACATTTAGATTAAAGAGGTTTTACAGACACGTTTTTCACTTATATAAATTCGGCGAAAATATTTTTCTTCTGTATTGATAAATTGAGTAATAGTGACCTGTGTTCTTGCCCAGTTTAAAATCAAGATATCAAATGCTGATTTTATAGACACGAAAGACCTTCACATCTGGAATAAATACATCGAGCGATCTATACTGATGAGTCTAGAATCTCAAATAAAACGGGACAATCAAACACGAAATGATATTCTCATAAACAGATTAGACCGCCATATCAAGCTTCTTTATTTACAGCCGAGTTACAGGTCGTTATGATGTCGCTTGAAGTCATTAAAACCTCAACCAAGCAGAAATGCAACTCGCAAAAGTTGCATATTTTACAGTGCAGATATTAGCCCACTATATCATAACGAATTTCATATTCACGTGGGTGGCAGCACTATGTCACCTGATCCAAGATGGTCAAGAGTTCCTGGTTATTTATCACAGTTCTGCATTTCGGGCGAAGACAATTTTTTTAGTATGTGTTTTTTGGTAATTTCTAGTTAGCAAGCATGGGTTCTGAGCAGCAAGAATAAAACCACTGATGAATGTGGACTTTGTCTACATCAGCTTATTTGATACGGACAGTGTATTAACCATGACGAGGCTTATCCTGCCATTCTTTCTATATTTGGTACATTGCGTTTTCTTTTTAAGGTTCTTTATCACTACAGTAGGTGTATTATCGCTCATTTGCATTTCTTCAGGCACTTGAAATTCTCTTTTGAATTTGTTGGCTTCTTTTATTACTGAATAAAGTTTCTTATTTCTTTTATGTTTTTTGAAACAGATCATCATCCAGTCTCCTGTAGTTTCCAGGTATGTTTGAAGATCGATTCTTGTGGTTTTGTATGAAAATTATAGTTGAACTAATGTTCTGCCTCCTTCGGATCTGGGCATATACAGACTATGAGCATTTGCCTTTCGATGATGCATGTGGTGGCAAGCGAGATGCTTTCTCGTTTTGACATCCATTCGCTTAATGTCAGCTATGGTGCCACTGATCATGTTGAAACTCTATTCCACCACAAGGACAGCCAAAATGTTTATGGCTGATGTTTTGTCTTGTTAATTCAACTCGGTATTTAACACCAGACCTACACACCTGTTTTTCTTACTTTCTCCT